TATTTGGTGGGATCAATTCCATCCGACTGATGCAGTGAATGCTATCTTGGCAGACAACGTGTGGAACAGCCTGCATACAGAAATGTGCTTTCCTATGAGCTTGGAAGGCATGGTTGCTCCCAAACGCACAAATCTGCAATCCCTCAGCTAGGATGTCCCTGAGTAATTCTCTGATTGCTCCTATATCCTTAACATCTATTGCTGACAACAACTATGAGAAATTCAAATATCGATAGAGCTTGACTGATAAATTTGATCTTACGTTGTAAACATTTGTGCTTATTCTTTGTTGATTGATCTATGGTGGGATATCCATACATGTCCCTTGCTTTGTAATCAGTTGTATTCTCAGATACTATTGTTAGTGTCAACTTCAGTATCTGATCTCTGAACAAAACTGGGAAAAGCTCTAGTAATGTCCCTGCAATGAATGAAAATCCCATGATCACAGAATCCATTTTGTTGTGCAAAATTTTTAGGAATTGTTCTCTTTAGTCATAGATGTGAGAATTACTTCAAATATGGAACAGTCATGTTCTTGAGCAGAGAAGGATTGTGAGCCACGAATTCCTTCCACTCTTCCAGATCAATTTTTCCATCCCTTTTTGAATCTACAGCTTCAAATGTCTGCGAGTACAAAAGGTGAAGGACACACTCAATTGTTAAATGACTGCATTTACTTGTATGCATTATTCTACCATGTTAAAAACCGTACCTTATCAATAATGGCCTCAACAATGTCATCAGAAAGAATCAAGTCTGATTCATCCAGAAGTGCCCAAATCATCTCCTTGACCTTGTACCAGGTGAGTTCAAACTTACTTCATTTTGTGTGCATCTAGAACTAATTAGCAGAATTTATGGCGATTCTCTCTTTACCTCTCCATGTTCGATGAAGCCTGTTTGCCATAAATCATATATTTGAAAAGCAACTGCAAAATCAGATGACAAAGGGGTTTAATGAGTTTTGGGAGAAGAAGCATATATGTGAACATCCACATAAAGAGAAAGATAAGAATTTCTTACAAGCGACTTTTTCTGATTGGGGAGCATCAGGGTGAAATATACTCAAAGTTAGAACGAACTCACTGAATTCTATGACCCCATCATGATTAGAATCAAAGAGCTGGAACATCTATTATTGAAGCAAACACGACGAATTTGTTATCCCCAAAAAAGAAAACACATTACTAAAAATGGATGTATACAATAGACCAACATAACACTTTATAGGTCTGTTCCCCTTTGTATAAAAAAATGGACAAAGGATTCTACTCTGTCTGCGAAGAGGCTTTGCTTCTTGCTGTTTCTGAATAAGCCAAGCTGAAACTCCTCCTGCATATTTTGAACTGCAAGTTAGGAATATATATAGCAAGTATTGAACTGAAATTGCCTTCAAATGGATAAATTAAGCTTACTTTGCTTATAAAGCCATCAGCAACTAGAGAACTGCTTAATTTCTTGAAGAGCTCATACAAAGCTTTAATTTCAGTTTCATCAACTGCCATTTTGTAGCCATGGAAGAAGCTTGAGTCTAAAATCCTTGAGTAAGTATCAACCTGAAGCAATGGAACACAAAATAAAATGAAGCTTACAGCAGGTTTGGGCAGCAAGAATGGCAACTTCTTCATGTCCAAGTCGCTGCTTTGTGCACAGGCAACCCATTTTATATTAATTTAGCAGCTTTTGAATGTGATCAAACACAGAGAACAGGGAGAATTAGGGTCAATTAATAGAGGTTACAACATGAGAATGCAATTGTGCTATTGTCCTTTGATCCTCTTATTCTCCAGACGACTAAGGGCTTATGGACGTTCATACTGAGTGAGTTTAAGTGCATGCACGCGTTCTTTTTACATTTTATGCTTGGCATCTCTTTATCCTAAATGTATGGTTTGAAGAAAAGAAGGTTTGGTAGAACTATCCAATGCATGTCATGTTTTGTTACCGGTTATGCACGTCTTTGAAAAAGCAAATACCAAATTGAACTTCTTAGGTGATGGCAACTTTAAAACCCTGTTAAATGCTGACAATTGAAAATGCAATCTGCTTTCTTTTTCCGGAAAAAGCTGTTGCTTTAGCTTAGAGTTGACGCATCATTCCTACTTAATGGTTATGGTTTTTTCTTCCAACTTAGTCAGAACTCAGAATCTGGTTCTGCGGTGAAACAGAAAGTTTCATGCTGGGAATAGCATTACTAGCAGGTGAGCATGTCAGAGCCTATATATAAATTTATTATTCCTGGTATGATTTTCTGTTTGGTGATGTACGATAAGACAATACAAACGAATCAAAAAAGGAAGAACAAAAAAAAAGAAGAAAGAAAAATGGAAGAAAGAAAATGTTGAGGCATCAGATGCCTAATACGTGGAGTTTCAGAAAATAGTAATGTTTTATTATGCTAAATACCATGCAACAGTGAGTTCAACTAGAAACAACCACAGAAAACTATTGAACCTTGTTGAGAAAGAATACAGGCTTTAGGAACAAAAATTAGAACCCTTGGTATACATGAAATCAGCTGATTGAATCCCATGGAGTAATTGGTGAAACAGAGTCTTGTTACAAGTTGTGGAGAGATATTGACATCAAGTTATGGGTTCCTTAGCCTTTCTGTCAGCACCTCAAATGCAACCCCACTTCCCCATATATGTTTTTCTAGAGTTTAGTAGGATCTCAGGGGACAACTCAAAAAGATCCTGCATCTTTTTTGGCACACCAAGCTAGTCTGGTACTTCAGTGGTAAGCACAAAACTCGGAAATGCTAGTGTTAGTTCCCTGAAAAAATAAATAAACAAATAGAACAAGTTATAGGCAAAAATCTGAACCAAACTTGAGCTGTAACTACACTGCTATAGAACCTTAGAACCCACTTCAAACATGGCAGAGTCATGTTCTTCATGAGAGATGGATTCTTTGCTACAAATTCTCTCCATTCTTCTTGATCAATCTTCCCATCTCCTTTTGAATCTGCCTGCATCATTGTCTGTGGAAAACAGTGAATGACCATCTAAAATGAAAAATGACAGAAATACAGCAGATTATATAGTCTTAGTATGTTTAATACCTTGTCCACCACAAATTTTACTACATCACTTGAGAGGGACAAATCAGATTCACTCAGTAAAGCCAGTACCATCTCCTCCAGCTATAATTGTGCCAATCATAGAATCAGATGCACAGATATGATCATTAAGAAAAAAAAAAAAAATAGTTCCAACATGTGTAACATAAGTAAGTTCAGGAAAAAAAAAAAAAAAAAAAGTTCCAACATGTGTAACATAAGTAAGTTCAGGGTATTCACCTCCTCCCGTTCAATGTAGCCAGTTTGCTGTAGATCATACAATTTAAATGCAACTGAAAAATTGATACATACCTGAGCTTAGTTGCAACGGAAGCATGGAAGGATTTATTTTATGATGTCATATTACATAGATAAAGTTATGGCAGTATCTAAGATGAAAAAATGAATTGAGAGATAACAATATTATACATGTAGTTTTATCTTCTTGGGAAGCATTTGGGTGGAATACACTTAATGACCGCACAAACTCTCCAAATTCAATAACTCCCTTATGTTTAACATCAAATAAATCAAATACCTGCAATAAGTTGCCATGGCAACATGCAAATAAGTTACAGGAATAGCTTGATAAATCATATGATAAGAAACTAAAATAGATTGGTAATGCATAAGAACTTTGGGTTTAAGCGTGCACTTGGCAAGACAAAGGAAAACTGAAGAGAAATTTGAAACAGTAAGATGAGAAATTTACATTATCTGTTGATGCACATAACAGTTATTGAGTGCTGAAAAGAAAGAAACAATTTGGGAACAGTTCATGGAAAAAGATGCTCACTCTGTCTGCAAAGAGATTTTGCTTGTTTCTATTTCCAAAAAGTGCAAGTAAGAATTCTTCCTGCAGTGCTCGAGAGATGGTAAAAGTCAAAGCAGAACGCAAAAGGACTCAAAGAAGAAATTAATGACAGTTTTGTTTAAATGAGATGGAGATACCTTGTGGATAGAACCATCATCAAATATGGAACTGCTTAACTTCTTGAACATATCATACAAAGCTTCTACTTCATTCACAGTAACTATGAAAGAGACAGGCAAATATTAATTAGAGAGTATAGAAAAACAAGATTATATATAGAAATGAAAAAACACCAGTCAGGCCAATTCTTCACTAAACTTACAAGCAGTTTCAGAAGCAAGAATTGTAGACTCCTCATACCGAGATGTACATATGGTTTTCCTTCTCCCAAAGCAGCACACAAAAGAATTCATGCTGTTGTACCACAAGAGTATATGTGATTGGAGAGTTAAATATCCTGCCACAGCCAAGGAGATGGGTTTTCATATGCATCAATCCTTGAAATGTGTTGGTTGAACATTGCTTTAACTTTCAACTATCATTTTTTTTAACCCATAAATTTCAGTTCAATTCTCATATAAAAAGATTTAAAGTGCAGCCAAAAATTTCAAATCTGAACTTCACCAAGACTGCCGGCCGTCACTGGCATTAATTAATTAAAATTATAACTCTCACTGTGAAAACAAAAACAAGTGTGCAAGTCAAGAAATGAAAATCCCTGGAATATATCATAGATGCTAAAACTGTCTCTTATCTTTGACTAAACTGTTCTAATATTAATATACAACACTGGGGCCTAAAAGAAATGAAAAAGGCATACAGGAGCACCTTTAACAGTATAATGATGAAATTTTTAATAGACTGAGAAAACTATAATGATTCTGCTCCAAACTATAGATGGAGGACCCAAACAGCAAATACCCAAGAAAAATTGTATTATAAATAAATAAATAAAAGTTAAAATAGGTGACCTGAGAACAAAGGGTTTGCAATTGCAACTTCTTCAAAACTCCATTATTGGAGCACCGTACTTCCGTTGTTTCTTCCTCCTTCTTTCTTTTCTTTCCTTACTTTTTCTTTTGTTTGGGTTTTGCTTGCTCCTGCAGGTTTATATTTAGTTCAAACCTCAAAGTTGAAAACTTCAAAGCAAAGGACATCACGTCGCTTTCTACCTGAACCATCTTTCAATTTTGATTTCGAATTCTTTTACATAAGCCTCCTGTTTTCAAAACCTTTATACGTAGCAACCAATCAACCAACATTGTGTATTCCTGCGTCCTCCAATCCCGTCAAAGTGGTCACAATTCCAACCACATTCACTTAACACCTCTCACAATTCCAACCTTTTACTTAGAAAAACATTTGACAATTAATGAGGATTAATAAGGGTGATTTATTTATCTAAAGAGTTTGTTTTGTAATTTAGACAAAATATTTAACTACAAAAACATGAGCTGCTGTTGCACATGGAAAGTGCCTAATTTCAAGTTTTATAATAAATTTTTTATATTATTTTTTTATATAATTTTTATATATCATTAAATAAATAAATATATTTAATATTATGAGTTACATATGACTTAAAAAAACTAATCATTTAAATGACACTTTAAGTAATACAAAAAATAATATAAAAAAATTATTCCAAAATCATTTTCTTATAAACATCTATGTATAAATCACAAATATAATAATTTATATTTATCAATTTATGTTATGTAATATAATAATTTAATAAAAAATATTTTACAATATGAATTGTATATGTAAAATAATGACTGTTAATTTTTTAAAAAAACCCTACTAATATTGGGCCTTCCTCTTTTAATTCAAAAATATCAATTTTACAATTTAATACAATATGTATTATAAAATTAAAAAAAAACTCATAATTTAAATTGTACAACAATATTTTTTTTACACTAAAAAATAAAAATAGCTAGAACGTTAGATGTGCATGTGGGTTCACGCCGGCTTCATTGTTTTGACTTTTTACAAGAGGAAAATATTTTTAAAAATCCACTTCTATTTTATTAACTCTTTTTTAGTGCATTATTAGACTTACGTGTGCCCTTGTTAACAGAAACAGCAATAAAAAAATTTAATATACATATGTTTATTCGTCTTATTTTTTAAAA